AGTGTAAGTATGAGGAAGTTAGGACTTACCATTGATTTTTGGGAAATTTTTTTGTTGAAGGTGTCATACATTTTTTTCATATAAAAAATTATTAAACTGTATTGACTGACTGTGCAAGTTATTCCGATCAAAAAGGATGACACTTTGTCACCTGTGTTCCCGGCATATTGTTTTTTTTTGCTTTTTGGCAGACGCTGCATGCTTTTAGCGTTTTTTACTTTATATTTCCTCCACTTAGAATAAGCGGCAATGTCCATCTACTCGCTTTCTCAAGCCTTTTGCTTCCCGTTCGCCACGAAATGGCAAAAAATGACTTCCAGTGTTTCCATTCGGAAGCGAGCTAATGTGAGAAATCACATCCCCCATAATGGGTTGTGCGGTGGGCTTTGGACTAACCTCGAATTAGAACCCCTCCCTTTCTGGCGACCATGACAGACGTATAAAAGACTACGAGTGAGACCCCGTCGCGGAATGCTGTTGTTCACCTTAGTCGACGACCGCCTCTCAACAATCCGAACTAAAACGAGAGTTTTCATGATCTGCCCACGCTACGATAGCAAAATCGTGCTTGGTAATCTCGAGAAAATTCACGACGGAATGTCTGATAACAGACCGAGACTGATCAACTTCCGATAAAGTCCGAAAATGGTAGTTTGGAGCGCTAAATTTCAAAAAACCTCCCTCAAAGAACGTGGCTGTCTCCGACATTTTGTAGCATGTGAAATTCACGCTTCCAATGCTTTAGTCTTACGCACATTCTGAAGGTCAAACATCGACTCCGATCATTATCTTGTTGCAGAAAGGATACGTGCAACCCTTGGTGCTGCTTCTTGTTTTTCATCTTCGTCGACCCATTCACTGTCTATAAAAGCTACTCCTAAATCTGCATTTGCAGGAAACAAACATTTTCCGCGCCGGACATTTCGGTATTCCTTATATTACGCGAACTATAGTTCAATAAGGTGAACGAACTAATACTCAGAAGAGCTAGTTCATTGTGTTGAACTAATTGGAAGTGAACTAGTCTTAAAGTGAACTAAAAAATCCAACTGAAACACACATACATGCACATTAAAGATTGCAATAACCATAGTCGTGTTTCTCCAAAATCGCGAAAGGATGTTTATGAAAATTCAGCAGTGCCTGCATTTAATTGTCTTTTCTTAAATTTTGCCTTCGAAATGGGAGTAAATTGCGGCTCGCTTTGGCATCTGAAAGAGAAAGTCTTTTGTCAAACAACAAATCCCCAAACACTCAACTGAAATTCTTACTTTTTTAACACAAATTGCACCAAACGTTGTGAAACATTGGACATTATATGAAATAAAATGCCTTTTTAGCGTGAATTCCGGTCAGATATTTTTTTATGCCCTTATAGCTAAAAACCAGATCATATATGTATTGTAAAATTATATTTACATTTTCATTAGAGTGTTGTCAAAGAAAATTTTAGTTGATTTTAAAGAACGAACTATTGAACTAGTTCAATTAAAAGAGCTGGCTCTTTCGCCCTTTAGTTAAAAAGCTCCCCAAGCCTTGTATGTATTTATGCATATGCACATTGACGAGGGAGAGGATAACAGGAAAAAACGCGAACTGCACTGTAAAAACAAAAACGAGGAGCAAAAAGTGGATTTTGGGAAATATTTGGATGTTTCGAAGAAGGAAGTTACTGCAGAGAATCTTAGAACGTTGGCAGTTCTCCAAAAAAGTGCTAAAAAAAATTTATTGTAACACTATTAGCTCATCTCGAGCTGCCTGGAAGCCCATCGAGTGATAAGAAATATAGTCTTCCGCGTTTCAGTAACTGAAATTATAGCAAAATTTCCAACAAATAGCAAAAAAAAAAAACAATCTGAAAAAATCTTAAATATTTTGGGAATCAGTGGCCTAAATATGTATACCTTGAAAATATGAATTTCGTCTTTGGATTTCTCCCAATTTTTATTTTATTTTTCTAAATAAAGAGCTAACTTCTGCCAGCACTTCAAGTCTTACGCTCAGTGTCGCTTGAATTGTTTTCCGTGCGAAAGAAAAATACAGTTCAAAATATCGTTGGCACATTTACATACAAACATACATATATGTGTATGTATGTAGTTGGCGCCATTCTCTACTGGGCGCCGAATCTCCGCACATCATCGCCGACAAAAGAAAGTAAACAAGCAGACAACCTAAGAAAGGAACGCAGACATGTCATGGCGTATGAGTAACCAAACAAAACAGGCAGCCGACAGCCAAAGCAAACAAGCCATGTAGCAGAGCCAAACAGTTCAAAGTAAAGTAAGAGCGCGCGCGTATGTAGGTTACGAGTGAAGCGCAGTCAAGCGCGTAAATAGACAGCGAAAGCAACAACAAAAAAAGTAGAAAAATAGAAAAAACGAAAAAACAAAAAAAAAACGAAAAAACAACACAATTACAAAGCAACTTTGAGGAGAACTACAACTAAAAAGAGAGGAAGCTGAAGAAATGCGGCTAAAGTTGTTCAAGTACGAAAATAGTTGAAAGCGAAATAGTGCAGTTAGCGTATGCATGTGTGTGTGTGTCGCTTAGACATTTCACATGTACATACACGTAGTCGGTCAACAGCAATAACAACAGCAAGGCACCTAAAGTTTAGTGATGTGTTTTTTTCTGCAGCCCGTTTGTATTATCTGTGAAATTCAAAGGAAACACACACAGATAAGCATGCATATGTATAGTTTAGTAGATATGAAACACAGTACTTAGCATACCAAAGAAATGTATTTTTAGAAGCACTGCACCATGCCCGAAAAGTTGATTTCAAAAGTTGTTTTGTAGTAATTGATATGCTTTTGCATAATGTTTAAGTAATGAGTTGCAATATAAAAATTAAGAAAATTTCAGTCAGAGACTTTTTTTCATGCTGCACATAAAGCAGAACATTTGGAAAGAAAAACTGTTAATAACCAAAATTTTCGGAGGCTTATACACTCACTCTTTTGATATATGATATTAAAGGTAGCACTTCCAATTACTACATACATATATATCAATTTACACTACAGTTCGGGAACGTTGTTAGTTCACTGTAGCCTACATCTACTTCTAAAAAAATCTACTGTGTGATGTTTTTTATGGGCAGCTGAAACCGTTGGTTCTTACTTTTTAAACATTAGGACGATAAGAGCAATAGAACCCTTATTGCTGAGTAGTTCATGACCGAATTTAATTAAACTAGTATCGCCCCGTTGTCGAAATTCGACCACCTAACTTTTTTTTACACAATTCTTCATTTTGCTTGCGAAGTTTTTATGTCCATCATCACCTATTGATCGTCTAGGTCTCTTATATTGTTTGGTGGAGTAATATACATTATGTTAAATAATTTTGAAATTCATAGCAGCAGTAGGGAGGAATAGATTTGTATGGGATTTCGTTAGCGTATTAATATATAGATATTGAAAAGTTATTACATTAGAACCACTTATAAGTTGCCGTGCCAATGCACTCTTCTAAGTCAGTCGCATCACATGAAAATATTTCATGAATTTTAATTTGGGATAGCTCGAATTCGGTGGTAACTATCGTTTAGATAGACTTCACCAGTTCTTTTGCTCAGGGTGGGGAAGTGGCTGGGTTTTATATTTTTGCTAATAAATAGCGAGTCAACTTGAAACAACGAAACACAGAAACACTGAAACACTGAATTTAGCATCTTATAATGAGTTCACCCTCCTTTTCCCCACAGCGCGAAATAACTTCGCTCTATATTTTTTTTACTTAATAGCAATTCAGCTTAAAATAACGAAACAGAATAACTGAATTTAGTACATATTATGAGTTCACCCCTCCTTTTCCCCACTGTGGGGAATTGACTTCTTTCTTTATTTTTGCTACTTAATAGCGAGTCAGCTTAAAACAACGAAACACAAAATAACTGAATTCAGTAACAAATTATGAGTTCACCACTCATTTTCCCCAGGGTGGGGAGATTACTTTGTTCTTAATTTTTGCCTTTGGGGGACGATTAAGAGCGAAATTAGGGGACTGCGAAAAATTAGGTAGATAATTTAAAAATCCAAATTAGCGTAGTGATTCACAGTGTCGCCAAGTTGACAATTTCGTTATTTGTAAATTTTCTGCTACAATTTTTTCAAAAATAAATATTGGACATTTTCCGTATATTCAAGCACAAAATTTCTAAGTTTTTTTAATTTTCTTTTCTATACCCATTTGACCTTGTGGACCCAAAAATTTAATACTTTTTTATTTTACAGAATTTTCTCTTTTATTTGATAACTACATTGCTATTCTAAATTGCACTGAATTTTTAAAATAATTTTTATAATTAGTCATATTTTTTAAATTTTAAGTTCTTTAACAAAAAAATCCTGATGTAAGAGAGAAACCCTAAATATGTAGTTTTACTACATTTTGCCCATAGTTTCGCGAATAAATATTTTTTTGTGTATACAATTTACTGCCACGTGATGAATAGCAGTCATTCGGACAGAATTTTTTTTATGCATTAGGATTCTGAAGTAAATATAATTCAAGTCCACCATGGTGTAATCATAAAAATGAAATAAAAATCAGAGCTCTCAAAGTTTATTCATGAATTTGGCAGGAATTCTCAAAAAAAAGCAAGAACGGAAATCGTATACCGGGGGTAATATATGTAATTATATTTATGATGGTGATTCCGGATATGGGCTTCATTTCTTAAGATTTCAATGTTCAGAGCTTGTAGGTATATTCGTTTGCATAATTAAATTTTTCTCACGGTGCAACGCGGTTGGGGATAGTATAGCAAACAAGAACCAATCGCAAAAACGAGGGGAGTATTCAGAATTAATCCTAGAGATATATAGTAGATACCGTTCCCGCGTTTTTCTAACAAATTTTTTTTTTAGACTTTTGAAATACTAATTAATAATTTAAACATGCCTATTTATTATTTAATTAAGTCTTAGTTAATTATTTAAATTGTAAATTTTTGCAGTAAACAATTTTTTTTTATTATTTTACAGCGTTGCCAACGATTTATCGGTGTCCAACCATCAGCGGCAACATACACCGAAGAGTGCAAAAAGGAACAACCGTAAAATAGTAGTCAAAACTATCGAAGAAATAAGAGCTAAAATGCGAAAGTATTAAAAAGTTACGCCAGGGCATACATTTTTTTTATAAATGGACCACAACTACCGGCCCAAAGAGAGTAAAGCAAGCAAAAAAAGACGAAAAAAGCAACCAATCGCCATCAGCACCAACAAAATTTGGCAATAACAACAGCGGTTGTTCATTCGCAAAGTGCAGCAACGAATTTTTTTTTATCGCTTTCCTTCACACAGCGAACGATGCTCTCGTTTTTGCGCGCAGTGTTGCCACCAGTTTCGCCGCACACTCACACATAACAACTGATTGGAGTGCAAAATGTCGCTGACTGCGAGTGCGGTTACAAAGTGTTGTTGTTGTGCGTGAGTGTAAAATCGAAACGAATGTGTAAGCTGAGGAAAAATGCGTTTGCACGGCAATAAACGCCAAAAACAACAACATCCAAAACAACAGCAACACTACAGAAACTATAAAAACACCAACGAAAAGGAAAACAAAAGGGAAAATAAGAGCGAGCTAGCAAATATTCAGCAACGAAGAAAGTGCAACGACCGCCAAGCCAAGGCAGTACAAGTAAAGGAACTGCAAGCCGAGCAGCAGCAGCAGCAGGAAGAAAACAATAATCGCGCGCAGTTAGTAGTGCAGCCGAGGGGTAGCGAGCAATCATCGACTGACTTTGAAGTAACACGTCTGGTAATAGAAGAGCAACCTAGGAAAGCAGAGACAACATCGACTTCAGTAAACTTCACAAAATATAACCTAAACAGCGCGCCGCGACACATACCGCTGCCGCTGCCACTGCCGCTGCACGTCCTACCCCACTTTCTGCTACTCATCCTCCTTTGCTGTACGATGCCCCCGCAAGCGCAGGCCGATTGGCTGATGGACTGCGGCGACTGTATGTGCAAGTGGCAATCGGGCAAGAAGACTGCCGACTGCAAGAATCTCTCGCTCAATGCGGTGCCAGAAAATCTTAGCAACGAGGTACAAGTGATTGACCTCTCCTTCAATCGTGTTGCGATATTGGAGCAAAATGCCTTCCTCAATGCCGATCTGCACAATTTACACAAGCTATTCATGCGTAATGCATCATTGCAACAGATCGACCCACGCACGTTCACGCAACTGGAGATACTCATTGAATTGGATTTGTCGAATAATTTGTTGCGCAACCTGCAGGCGAATGTTTTTGCGCGACTGGTGAAGGTGCGCTCGATCGTGCTGAATGGCAATTGGTTGGAGGTGCTCGCCGATGGCGTCTTCCAGAATCTTAAGTACCTGCACAAGGTCGAGCTAAAGCACAATCGTTTAGCGCGTATTGGCCAAGAGGCATTCGGCAACGTGCCGCTACTGTCACAGATCTACTTGGATGGCAATAGACTGAGTTTCCTGCGAAAAGAGTCCTTTGAGTCTCTTAAGCGACTGACTGCGCTCTCACTCGATTCGAATCCGTGGAACTGCACTTGCGAGTTGCAGATCTTTCGTGACTTTGTGCTGAAGCGTAACCTCTATACGCCGCCCACGGCTTGTTATTATCCGGTACATCTGCGCGGCATGCTCTGGGTAGAAGATCAACCGGAAGCGTTCGCATGCAAGCCGCGCATTATGTTCCCAGCGCGCGGTACTTCCATAAACACATCGAAGGAGAATGTGACGCTGGTGTGCCGTGTGCATGCGTCACCAAACACGCTGATATCGTGGGACTTCAACAGGCAACAGTATCGCGCTTCGACCAGCAACAGCGGCAGCGGCAGCGGCGCAAGCACACTCACCACCAGTAGCGCCAGCGGAGTCAGCTGTTGTGGCAGCGGTCAAGCACAGCGCGTTCACATACAACTGCTGCGCGATGAGCAATCGAAAGAGAAGGAATTCGGACGTGATGTATTCATCTCGCGTCTCACCATTGTGACTGCGGAGAAGAGCGATGAAGGTGTTTACACGTGCACGGCGGAGAACGCGGGCGGCAAGGATGCCGTACAAATGAGTCTGTTGGTACAACGGCCAGGCCAACGCGATATGCTGCTGCAGGGCAATTTAATCATTGTGATTTCTCTTATGGCACTGGGCTTGCTCAGCGTCTCTGTGTTCCTTGCGCTCATAACCTGCTGCATTTACAAACGTTTTAAGGCAATGAGTCCCGCACATCACCGGCATCATCATTTCGATGTGGCTGATCAGCTGACGCCGGGTATGGATGGTCATCATACGACGACGACGACTACAGTGGCCGGCGGCACAGATGTAGTGCTGGGCATGGACGATGCAGTCGGAAGCTACAAGCATCATTTGCAAAAGAAAAATGCGAATGGCGATGTAATGGAGGGCAAAGGCGGTGCCGGTGGCGGCGGTAGTGGGAAATACACAGAGGTGATAAAACATGGCGTGACTGTGATGGATAATGGTGGACTATTGGGGAGAGGTGGCGGTGGCCGTGGCGGTGGCGGTGGTGGTAGTGAAGTTGATGTTAGCAGTATGCACAGAGGAGGCTCACATGCGGACAAGATGTACTTGGAGCGAAGCAATGAAGGTAAGTAACTGAGATGCGAATTAGTGGGCGCATACAGAGTGGTGTGTGAAGGTGTGTAGTTTTTTGAATGAAATGTAATCGAGTGTGGTACTAAATGATGTGAGAATATTATACGATTGCGTGTATGTGTTTCGTTTACAAGAATTAAATTTTTTTTGTAATAAATTGCAGGGTGTGGCACGTTTTTGTATAATTTCAGTGATAATTTGATACTTTGGGCCGAAAGTGTTTGCACGCAATTTCTCTAGTACCTATCGAGCGCAAATCAATATCAAATTATTATTATTTTTTTTGTTATAAAGCATACAAATAGTGGATTAGTTAAGTGAATTGCTAAATCTGAAATTACCGAGGGATTTTGAAAAGTGACGGACCGAAGAAGAAGTCACCGAAAAATCTGAAAGATGCCGAAAAATCTCTAAACCTTTGTGGAGCAATTGAACTGAAATTTTTGTTCCTGCCACACATAGCGAAAAAATTTCGAAAATCGGAAACAATGAAAACGCAAGTAATAAATTTGATATGTAGGTACATTATTTTATACCTTCGCGCGAATTTTTAATTGCATACTCTCACTTTATATGGTATTTTCAATATATTTATACCGAAGTAGTGATTTTTTTTTTTTTAATTTCGCGATATTTTTTAGCAAATTTTAAACCTATACTTAAAATATAGTTTTATCATCGCTTTTTTATTACAAATATTCACAACTTAATTAAATAGTGTTTTATATATACCAGACCACCAAATTAATATTTTTGCATCATTTTCCTTTTTGCCTTCAATTTTGTAACGTCTCATAAAGTATTTTTTATAAGAATTTATTGTTAAATATTTTGTGAAAACATTATGTGCATTCATTTGTTTACGAAGAAAAATTTATTAATTGAAAAAAATGCAGTGCTTATATTAAAATATTGTAAAGTAATGGGGGAATTTTAAAACCAAATAATTTAAAAACTATTATTATTTGTGCGCAAAATGTTGAAGATATAGGTTAATTAGCATTTCCCAAACACCCCCTGCGAATTTCCTTAAAAAAATTCGTTATACTTTGCCTGAAATAGGTAATGGTCCATTATTGGAAATCTCAGGAAATCATTAGCAGGAAACTATATTCGCTATTTCACTCAATGCAGCGTACTTACGCAGCGAGATACACGTGCATGAAGTCAATATGGGTACGAATGACTTAGCGTTATACGTGCTATGAAAGTGTAATTTTTACAGAATTTTATATGTTACATAAGAAAAATGAGTAAACGTTTAATTTGTATAGTCTATCTGCGTTTTTATTATTGCTTTATATTAAAAAATACTCGCCATAATACTCGTATTTTTTTGCCTGTAAAATTATAATTATTTGATGATTTTTTATTTTAATGAACCGTGGAAAAATCAAGTTGCCGTGCCCACATTTGGAAGTTAAAAGAGATTAAACAGCGAGTTTATGACTTGGGAGACTGCATTGGGATCGAATCGGTTCATAGCTTTAGATATTTAGAATATTATACCCTTTGGTTAGCGTGGATATCTAGGCCCTTACTTTTGGTGAATCCCTCTTTATAAAAATGAAATTTCTTTGCAGCGAGTAAAGCTGTGTTTTAGGCACTTGAATAAAATTATTTTTATTTTTATTAATTTTATTTTATTATTTTATTTATTTTTTCTAGACTTCATAACCTGCGTAATTGATGTGCAAAGTTCAGGTTCGCTCCATGCTGAAGTCTAGAAAAATGAAGTCTGATTAGGAGATGTGGTGATCTCCGAAATAGCTGCTATAACTTCCACCGCTTAGACTTTGTTGCCTTTTCAATTGTTCCTAATAAACAATCGTGGTACAATGCTCAATAAAAATATTAAAATTAAAAATGTTAATAAGCCACAATAACATTGACAAAATTATTTTTAGTTTAAATAAACGTCACAGGCCGTTATAGCAAGCAGTCATAATTCGAGTGTAATTATTTCCTAATGTGTTTTAATTGCTTTCCTTATCAGCACATAAATTACAAAGAATTACATGCATACGTAGATATGCGATTACATACATATAAGTTTTGAATTATGGATTCGTTGAACATACCTTGATTTATCTAAGTAGCCTGCTTTCTCTCACTACTTCATGGCCGACAATTGAGTGGGAGTCGCATAATTGCAAATACAGCTGAAATTATACATGCATGTGTATGCATGCATGTGTATTAGACTGCGCCTTAGTTGTATGGATAAAAATTTTTATTAAGCTACAAAGCAAAACTACCCCTAGAAACGTTCCTTTGGTCATAACACGTGCGCCGCGAAAAATTTTTAAAATCTGATAACGTAAAGACGTGCCTAAAAGGCCCTAAAGTTCAGCATTTTCATGAAATTTTTCACAAAGTTAAATGGTGCCATATATACTTTTGTCTCCCGATGTCAAATATGGCAAACATATTTTTAAACCACTCCAATTTTTAAAGTTATTGAGGTTTTTCCCACGTAATATTAAAATTTTGTAGGTTTCTAGGTAAATTTAGATCAATTGGATAGGAAGAAAAACAAGTTTATTAGCGAACTTTTGATGCAGTTTTCTTAAATTTGACATTTAAATTTGATTTGAATTCCACAGTCGTGCCCCTAAATTTCGTATGGGAACATTCCGCCAACTTCGATTTTAGGTCTTTTTTTGGATTTTTTGCGATTTGCAAGCTTATTTTTAATTTTTCCTAAAAACAATTGAATAAGAATTTATAGAGAATTTAATTTTCCAAATTTTTTAAACGTAAGCCTTTTTAATCAAATCTGATTTTATTGTAAATAATTAGCAAAGAGTGCGAAAAAATTTTAAATTGTCACAGTTTTCGACATTTTTCAACAATTTCTGTTGAAAATACTTGGCATATTCAAATGCCAAAGTTGTAGAGAATTTCATTCTCTTTGTGGCATGTTTTTCTGTTATCTGATTTAAAAAACGTTTTTGAGACCAAATAAACCTTTTTTGGGGGGAGTCTTGCTTTGTAGGACAAAGTTGCAAAATAATGCGCAGCCTAATGTGTATGTATATACCCACATTTCTGAGCCAAAATGACCAGCTACTTTTATTTATTGTAGCTGTTTTAACAGTCCTCTTCCACGTACGTAAATATATAAACATTTTGTTATTGCACTCGTAATGGGGTTTTCACGTTTGCGGTCGTGTCTCGTACTTTGATGTGAACAATGTTGTCATTATTGTTGTAACTGGTGGCATTCTCGTAAATCCTTCGTTTATAGCGTGACCATTCACGCCACACCAATTTATTTGCACTTTACTCTTCCTACGTCAGCGTTCGTCATAATACTTTTTCTTCTTCTTCTGCTCAAGCCCCACACACACACACACACACACACACTAGATACTTTTGAAACAATATATGCAGCAGTATTCCGCTTGCGTTTTTCGGCTGTCCAGCAACGTTATTGTCTCAATGATAAATATGGTAATTAATTCTCGCTGCGAATTGTTGAAGTGCTGTAATGAAAATGAAAATGTTTTTACCGTTACCACACCCTACTTTCGAAAGTTTTATGGTTTTTTATTTCTGCGGCAGTGCAGCGTTTTTTTTTTGCGGTCGATTGCGGGTGGCATCATAAAATTTTAAACA